AAAATATATCAAATTGCTTATTGAAGATAGAATTAAGAATAACTGTGGCTTCCTGTCCCATGACATGGACTCTAGTCCATGGGGAGAGTATTGTCCAATTTCAGGGTGATTTTCTTCCTGACAAATTCTCATATGTATGATTGAATGTATCTCTTGGCTATAAACTCAACTTTCACATCCATCTTGCTCCTTGAAGAACTTTTCCCAAACCTTGACTAAGTTCCCTTCTCTCCCTAGAAGACAATCACCCCGAATTGCATTTAACTGTATTCTACTTGAAAGTTTTGTGTATATTTCAATTATATATGCAATTGGCTCCTCCTGTAATTATGAAAAAGCATTTAATATAAGTATTTTCTGATGCCTGTGGCCTTTGTCATCAAATGTCTTCTCATGGAAGAATCAGGCTGATATTTTTGATCTCATGCAGTGATGTGATATGTAGAGCTTGGGAAAAAGAATGTTTATGAATTACTTGATGCCTAATGACATATTTATATCTCATTTTCTTCTATATTGCTTTGTGCTAATTCCTGATATGTTCTTAGACCTTAGGTAACTTTACTAAGTTTATTATGTAGATATGTGATTTCTTATGGACAAAATTTGGAAGGACACCCTCCCTTAAAGAAATGACTGCTAGAAAGGATACAAACATGTTTTAATCCATGAAGTAAATTGCCAAATATAACCTTTACATTTTATTAAATCAGGCTTTGAGAACAAGCACATCATCTTAAATCTTGAATAAGGTTTAGTTATTTGATATTCTGTTGCAATCTACAAAATAATTAAAATCCTCTCTCAATTTCTGCATCTCCCCAACCAACTTCCTTATTGTTTAATATAGACCTTTTATAAATAGTGAGTTTTGATTATTTCTCAATATACCACGGCTATTTCCTGAATTAACATTTTGTAATCCAACTAGTTCCTTTAATTAATTATTTGGAAGCATAACCAAGTCTAAGACACACTTTACCTTGTGTGTCACATCTTTCCATAATTTCCTAAGATAACTACCACTGTGACAGTCCGTATCATTAAGCCAACAACTTAAAAACTAACTCTTTAACACTTAAAGGACACTTGCATAGCAGCCCATTTGACAAAATATGGGGTCAAGATTTTAATTTAGCATCAGCAATATTTCCCTGCTTTCTGTGATTTTGGTTTTACAATTTTATATATTATTGCTAACTAAAGATATTTTTATATCTAATGCATAATATTTTTTGTTTGTTTTGTTTTGTTTTGTTTTGTTTGAGACAAGAGTCTCACTGTGTTGCCCGGGCTAGAGTTCCGTGGCGTCAGCCTAGCTCACAACAACCTCAAACTCCTAGGCTCAAGCGATCCTTCTGCCTCCGCCTCCCGAGTAGCTGGGACTACAGGCATGCGCCACCATGCCCGGCCAGTTCTTTCTATATATTTTTAGTTGTCTGATTAATTTCTTTCTACTTTTAGTAGAGACAGAGTCTCGCTCTTACTCAGGCTGGTCTCGAGCTCCTGAGCTCAAACAATCCGCCCGCCTCGGCCTCCCAGAGAGCTAGGATTACAGGTGTGAGCCACTGCGCCCGGCCTAATGCATAATATTTTTTAATTCCCAAACTCATCTACTTTGAATTTTTTAAGTTCCATTGGAGCTTTTGATGTCTTAAACACAAATTCTGAGGTTGTAATTAGAGTACATCATTTGGCAGTATTCAAACCATGAAT